AAGTTTGGTCCAATGTAAACAACTTCAACATTATCAGACATGGAACTTACATTTTAAAATAATGTGGTCGAAATAGTCCTTAAAGAGAATGTGGAAATTAAGCAAAGATTTGAAAGAAGAGAGGGATTTAGCCAAAGTGGCAGGTTTTTTTGAAAAGCCTCCAGGCAGACACAAGAGCAATAACCAAGGTGGAAAATACCTGATATGTTAGAGGAATAGCAAGAAGAGCAGGGTTTTCAGGAAAAGAGTGGTGTAAGCAGACATGCATTTGAGAACAGTATGGAGCTTCCTTAAAAAACTAAAAACAGGGCTTCCCTGGTGGCACAGTGGTTGAGAGTCCACCTGCCGATGCAGGGGACGCGGGTTCATGCCCCGGTCTGGGAGGATCCCACATGCCACGGAGCGGCTGGGCCCGTGAGCCATGGCCACTGAGCCTGCGCATCCGGAGCCTGTGCTCCGCAACGGGAGAGGCCACAACAGTGAGAGGCCCGCGTACCGCAAAAAAAAAAAAAACCCTAAAAATAGAACTACCATATGACCCAGCAATCCCACTACTGGACATATACCCTGAGAAAACCATAATGCAAAAAGAGACATGTACCCCAATGTTCATTGCAGCACTGTTTACAATAGCCAGGACATGGAATCAACCTAAATGTCCATCAACAGATGTATGGATAAAGAAGATGTGGTACATATATACAATGGAATATTACTCAGCCATAAAAAGGAATGAAATTGGGTTATTTGTAGTGAGTTGGATGGACCTAGCTTATGTCATACACAGTGAAGTAAGTCAGAAAGAGAAAAACAAATACCATATGCTGATGCATATATATGGAATCTAAAAAAGTGGTACTGCTGAACCTAGTGGCAGGACAGGAATAAAGACACAGACGTAGAAAACACAGACTTGAAGACATGGGCGGGGGGAGCGGGGAAGGGGAAGCTGGGATGAAGTGAGAGAGTGGCATGGACATATATACACTACCAGCTGTAAAATGGATGGCTAGTGGGAAGCTGCTGCAGAGCACAGGGAGATCAACTCGATGCTTTGTGATGACCCAGAGGGATGGAATAGGGAGGGTGGGAGGGAGGCTCAAGAGGGAGGAGATATGGGGATATGTGTATACATATAGCTGATTCACTTTGTTGTACAGCAGAAACTAACACAACATTGTAAAGCAATTATACACCAATAAAGATGTGGGAAAAAAATAACCTCTGCTGTTTTGTGAATAGATTATATGGATACAAACATAGAAGCAAATAATTAGCTAGGAGAGTTAGTTGTTGCAAGAGTTCACAGGAGAGATAATGGCCACTCAAACCAGAGTGGACATGGTGAGGATAGTGAAGGGCTAGATATGTTATGAAGGAAGAACCAACAGATTTTTCAATTGATTGGATGTTGCGTGTGAAAGAAAGTGAGGTGTTCAGAATGTCTCCAGGTTTTTCTGGCAAGTAAGGATGATTTCTGTATAACACAGAAGGATGGAATTGCCATCAACTGAGTTGGAGAAGGCTATGGGTGAATCAGTTTAATAAGACAAAGTCTGCCCTAAAAGGCTCACACTCATAAGTAAAAGAGATACTTAAATAACCAACGTGATCAACTAACTGAAGTAATGTGGTAAGTGCTTTTTACAGTAGTTCTGTGGGGACCAGAAGAGATAAAAATTATCATTTCACTTTGCGATGAGGGAACAGCTGAGAAGGGATCAATATATTGACGAATAAATAGGATGTGAAACAACAGGGAGGAAGGAATTAGTAATGGAAAAATAATCATGAGCAAGAACGTAGAAACGCAAAAATTAATGTTAAGGGCTTGGGAATGGGACAGGTTGGTGTGAATTGAGGTAAGGATGTGTCATAATGATGGTAGGGAAAGGGATGGGGCACTTGGAGGGAGGGAAGTATAGGACAAAAGATATAATCAAGCTAAAGAACATATTTGCTCATGAGCTTGCCCTTATCCAACAGGCATTGGGGAAGTGGAAAGAGGTACTTTTGAACAGCAACGTGAAAATCCTTGGATGGAAAATAAACCAGTAATTTGTTTGTTTTCTTTTTGTTGTTGTTGTTGTTACTTATCCAAAGACAATTAAACATATTATAAATAAATCACAGAAATATATATTCAACGTTGTAGTTCTAAAGTGTGGTACCTAAAGACATTCCCTGAGCTGTTCTATTGCATTATTATGAATTCAATTTGATGAGTTTTTTTCCTGGCATGATTTAATGACTTCTCATAATATTAAATAGATGGGGAAAAACACACACTCACAAAGTGAATAATGCCAGTTTTCCCGTTCATTTGGGTAAGGTATTAAGTGGTTAGTTGTTTGCCAATGTATTCTATGAATCAAAAATGTTTTATAACCATTGTAAAAAAACTAATGCTGTTGAGGCTCATGATTGTTTCTTCTTTTCAAGTCATGGGCCCCAGGGATGAGACATCAGGGGACTTTCAGTAGCAGTCAGTTAAAAGCATGAAATGTATTTATTTCTCTTACTCATTTAACAAAAGGTGCTATAAAATGTTTGATGCTGTTTTGCATGTATTTAGATACATGTTAGTTAATCCAAAAATACTGTTGTTTTTGGAGGTCTAGAAGAAACAGTGCATTCCTTGGGATATTTTAGGATGATCAAAATGTCTTGATTAGAAGGGGCAGGGGCCCTTGCTGATATTAATTGTTGAGTGGTATTTAGGATTGATTAATATTTATGATTTCTGTATAACACAGAAAGAAAAACTGGTTTTAGGGCAAACAGATGTGGATTTTAATTCTGGACCCCTCTTCTTAGTAGTAGTTTGAGATTGGCTGAGTCTCAAAATCTTTCAGCTTCATCTTTAAAATGAAGATAATACCTTCTCTATCTTAGCCCTCAGTAACTCTGAAGACCAAAGGGGAAACCTATGTGTTGGTAACATGAACATTATAAAGCACTGTTTGAATGTAAGATATACTAACTCCTCTTATTTCCATACACTGTAGATTACGTAATGAAAGGTACATCTTTCTTGGCAAAGGATGTATGTGAGATTTAATCCACTCCTGAGATAACATAGAGTTACATAAAAGTGATGTATGAATTGGTGTCCTTGATTTTTATGATCCTAACATTTTTAATCTACTCATATAGGTTTTTTCCTTTTAGGTTAAATAGTAAGCACATTAATAATCAGTTTTCATGTGTTCACTACATCACACCTTTTATGTGTCCACACATCTGTCTTTTAAACAAAAATTACTTAATTAACTTAAGATAAAATTGTTCTGAAATGAAGATCTGGGTTGAAGTTTTAAGAAATACATTAGAGGACAGGTCTATAGTTGCCAGTTACTAGTGCTTGCCCCCAAATTTTCAGATGCTTACATTTCTTCCTGAGTATTTCAGCTATTGTGTGAGATGAATTGTTCATTACGAGTTAATGTTATTTTTAGTGAGTAAAACAGCACAGACCAGGAGACTGCGAAATTCAATATAGTTCAGACTTATTTGGTAAGAGGATGGCTCTCAAAATCTACAAAAGAACCTTTGTTGAATTCTTTCAATACATTATTGGCCCATACATACAGTAGCCAATTTTGAATTTAGAAATGAACTAATTTAAGCCATAACTCAATAATGGGGTGTTCAATTACAGTTATTTCTTTTTTTATTTACAAAGCTTTTGATTTTGTTGTAAGAAGTTTCCATGGCATGAAGCTTCTGCATGAGTGGTAGGTGTCTAAAAACTGAATCATCACCATCATCATCAACCAGATTTAAAAAGGGACCACTATTTTTGTCCTCAAGTAGTAAGTTAAATATATAATTCTAAAAAAAAATTTTGCTAGAACTTGTATAATCATCTTCTACCTTCAGAGAAAACAGATGGAGGCTTACTCTGGTAGGACATTATAGAATGAGTACAATTATTGAAAGTGACAATCTAGTCATTGGAGAGATATTCCAAAGACCCAACTTCTAATTGAATATGATTCATATTATGACTTTTATATATGTAAATGATTTGGTAGCCTAGTAATGGCAAATTGGATCTATTTAAAGTAAGATGGCAGTAGTGTCACTTTTAGGATATAAAATATCTGAGACATAAGGCATGTCTCTTTTGAAAACTGTTTGAACTTGGGCTTTGATAATGTTTTAAAAAATTATTTCTAAATGGCATTCATTGTGTAATACATAAGGAAACTTTTCTGTAGCAAATATACCTTTATTTTAGTATTTTAGGAATGTGGGTTAATTGTTGGATTTAGGATACCCTAAGCTACTCTGCATAGAGTAGTATTAAGAGCCTATTTTATATTTCTATACTTATTACTTTTCAAAATGAGATGATTGGCATCTCATTTGATTAGTTCATTACTCAAGTTATGTTCTTTTCCTTTCATAAAGGAAACCATAATGATATTTTGGATTTCAATGTAGTAATGCTTCAGGGAAATGATGTGTGTGGTATGTGTGTGTGTGTGTGTGTGTGTGTGTGTGTGTGTGTGTGTTTGCTTTTCTATTATGTCATTTGGGAGGAAGCTAGGCATTGATGTCATGGCTATTTTTAACACTAATAAAGCCCTTTTAATCTGTAATGCTAACAATATTCAACAGAAGTCTATTCGTGGAACTATCTTGTATAGGAAAAACATACATTTAAATATGCAAACTTATAGGGGCAAAGCCTTATCATCTGACTGTTCCCAGATCTCATTGGTATTGTTTGATTTCACAGATTTTTCCCTTTTACCAGGCCAGCCACTTCTGGCCCTGTACTTGCATATACTCTTACAGCAGTTAATTACAGCCATTGGTCAAGAGCAGTTTGGCTTACTATTTTCATGGCAATAAAAGGAATAGAGTAATGATTTTATATCTTAACTAAAGCTGAACCATAAGTGATCTGGCTGTAGGCCCTCCAATTTAATTTTCCAGACTTGCAAATAGATAACAATTGTAAAACTAAATCAATTTTATTTACTTTTCAGACCATGTGGATGAGCGGACAGTATGCAATGGAATTGCCCCGGAAAAAGACGTAGATGGATTTCATATTATTAACATTGGAAGACTATGCCTGGATCAGCATTCTCTCATACCTGCCACTGCTAGTGCTGTTTGGGAAATTATCAAACGAACAGGTTGGTCTATGGGACGTGGGTGCTAAGTACCAAAATGAGCATTTTCACATTGTCTTGAAAGAGAATGAAAGAAAATAAGCATTAAACTTCAATCTACAGGAATATACAAAGTTACAGAAGTCAAGGAATAATCTGAAATAAGATAAAATGAAGAACACATGCCAGGTTACAAGAAACTGCGGTTTCACCTTTCAAGGAGTGAATTTTCCAAATAGAAAGTTTATCTCCCTACTCTAAAACTATAAGCTGAAGGTATTTTGATGTACATTTTCCAAAATGTATTATGTTTTTCCTTACCTTTAAAAACAAAATATGCTGGGCTTCCCTGGTGGTGCAATGGTTAAGAATCCGCCTGCCAATGCAGGCGACTCGGGTTCGAGCCCTGGTCCGGGAAGATCCCACATGCCGTGGAGCAACTAAGCCTGTGCACCACAACTACTGAGCCTGCGCTCTATAGCCGTGAGCCACAACTACTGAAGCCCGTGCTCTTAGAGCCCGTGCTCTGCAACAAGAAAAGCCACCGCAATGAGAAGCCCCTGCACCACAACGAAGATCCAATGCAACCAAATAAATTTATAAACAAATAAATAAAATAAGTTTATTTTTAAAAAATGTGCCGAACGTTTTGCACCATCTCTAATGAGCTAGGTTTTCATTATAAACACTTGCCCTTGAATTGTGCTCTAAATTCAATAATGCTCTCAAAGACCCCTGATAGTTCTTCTGTCTTCATCACTGTCTCTTACATTTTTGGCAGCATCTCCTCCTGCTAATCTTCTCTTTTCTAACTGAGGGAGAGAACTTCCAAGGGCAAGCAGATCCTAGAATTATACTCTTAGAATGTTAGTACTTAGAAAAGCCTTAATTCTAATTTTTTCATTTTACTTATGAAGATACAATGCCCCAAAGAGGTTAAGTGTGTTAAATCTGTAAGCTTTATCTTTCAGACCTTTCTAAGTCCATAAATTTAGTGCTTCTCTCCTATAGAATAAAGTGCATGAGTTTTGTGAAAAATACGTTTTTTTCCCCCACTTCATCTTGTCCTAGATTTGCTCAAAGTTTGATTGCCAATTAATCTTGACCTTGCACTTTTCTTGCTTTGTGATTAGTAGTTAATATTTTGTCTCCACTCTTCTAACACTTCATATGAATTTTAATGTTTAAAACTAATTTAATGGAAGCTTGAAAATGTCTGTGGTTTTTTAATGAGACCATAATGAGAGGGAACATGACAGATCCAAGAATTATAAAAAGAAATATTTATAAATAGTAAATGTAGGAACATTATAGACAAGCCACAAAATAATTCAAATTGAATTAGAAGTTTTTAAAGAATACTGCAGTTGGCTGTTGAGATGTTTACTTTGCTTCTTGTTGCTTATTCTTCATTTAAACCAAACTCTGTGTTTTAAGGAATTGAAACATTTGGAAAAAATGTGGTTGTGGCTGGAAGATCCAAGAATGCAGGGATGCCCATCGCCATGCTCTTACACACTGATGGAGAGCACGAACGGCCAGGAGGTAGGGGCAACCTGGAGATTCTATGTACTCTTACAGTTTTCTCACTTACAATCATCAAATAAATGTGTTTGAAAATGTGACATAGAATATTTATGGGCTTCTGCAAATAAAGGTTTCCTTTATTCCCTATCTAATGACATGAGCACCTTGACAATGAATAAGAGAATTACTGGAAAAATGTGGCCCCTTTGTTCCTACTTTATCATTTGGCTATATATACTTCCTTTATATCATTAAAAATATAGACATTAAGAAGGGTAGAAAGGCTAGATACATACTAGATACATAAAAATCACATGTTGATAGATATCTGTATACCCATACACACTACCGCCCTAAAACACACCACCAATATATAGATATAAGTTTGGTGGTTTTTTTTTTTGTTTTTTTTTTACCATTATTAACCTTGGTGAATTCCAGTTTCCTGATCTCAAATTTTCAAGTACACTTGACTGTTGAACAACACGGCTTTGAACTGCCCAAGTCCACATATACATAGATTTTTTTTTCACTAAATACATACTACAGTACTATATAATCTGTGGTTAGTTGAATCAATGGATGTGGAATCATAAATCCAGGGGCTGACTATAAAGTTACAGGAGGATTTTTGACTGTGCAGAGGGTGGGTGTCCCAGACCTCCGTGTTGTTCAAGGGTCAACTGTACTAATTTTATGATCTTGGTTGATGTAATGCATATGAAATATTTTTTTAAGCCACGAAGCCCTAAGGAAAAAGAAGCCCAATGATAACATATCACTTATATAAAATTATAAATTATTAGAGTTTGAATTGTTTTTGCCTGCCTGGACTTAAGGACTTAAATATTGCAACAAATCAAAATGTGTATGTGGATCATAGTAAACTAGGGCCTGATAATGACTCGAAGAAACTTTTTTTAAAGAGCCTTAGTTTTAAAGAGCTTTTTGAAAGGCCAAATCTGGTAATATCAACATAGTTTTCATGGTAACCATCTACAAAGGTGCATCTCTAGCTTAACTATTCACTTCTAACTTAATCTGTTAATGCTCATCTATCTCTTAGGGTATAATAAAGATATTGATTCATATTTACCTTTATTTAATAGTTTCTGTTAAGCAAGGAAAAACAACCAGGAAAATTTACCTAGGTGTACCATTTTTGTTGGAAGATTTTGACCAAGAGCCAAAATAGGCAGTTTTTTCTTCATTTTCAACATATTATTTTCTTATTTCATCAATGACATAACAAGCAGCATTATGCAGCTCTATTAATTGCACAGCACTTTCTCATGAGCTATCTTATTTCATTCTCAATAATTCTGGAATATATTCATATTCACGTTTTGCAGCTAAAGGAAGTGAGCTTTAGAGACTTCAGTGACTTACCCAAGGCCATTCAAGGAAGTGGTGTACAAAGCTGGGAGCTGGGTGCTGACTGTCTGGTTAGGAGGATAGACTTGAAGTCAGACCCCTCCCCTGCCAAGCCCTGTATCCTTGGGTAAGTCATTTAATCTGTGTAAGTCTCCACTTCCCTCATTTGTAAAGTGCAGATAATATTAATACCTCCTTCATTGGGTTATTATGAAAATTGAATGAGACTTGTATGTAAAGCACTCTTCACAGTGCCTGACACAGTAAGTTAAGTAAGCCCTTGGTACATATGAACTGTGACTATTACTGTTATTTCCATTATTATGCTTAAATAATAATCTGTGGCCATACTAACTAAAAAGTTTAGAATAACATAATCCAAGGTCAATGATGTATTTTTCACCTTCATTTGAAATTTTATTTTCTTTTTCTGTAGGTTTTATATTTACTTTTATTTGGATCAAATCTAATCTTTGTTGTAATAATTTGCATAAACATAGAATTTATAAAGTTAATAAAATATTAGATTATAAATATGACATCATAATATTCCAAAGTTTACTTTACATTGCACTTTTTCTTGTGGATATTAATATATTGTGTGCTAATTTCTTGATAAATTTCAATTTTGAATTATTTGTCTATAAAATACCTAAGTCTAAGTAAGTTAATTTACCTCTTATTTATGCAATTTTAAATTAGATAGTCCTATGTCATAAAACATTTACTTTATAAATATTTTATACTTTGTGTTACAAAATATTTTCACTTGAGTGCATGTTAGAAATTGAATAAAATTGGAATTAGATATAGTACTAGTTACTTAAACGCCAGGTGGTTAAATTTACAGTTATAGTGGCATACAGGTGCCGTTATAATTACGTTATCTAAAAGGTAATAAATTGTATTAAAAATGATGTTGCATAGTTCGCAACATGGGTGGTGTTTATTAATCTCATGCATATTTAATAGGAGTATGGTGACATATGTGATTAGTATAATGAATTGTTGAGAGCTGCTTACTGAAGATTTGCAGTCTGTGGGAAAGTTAATATTTCAAATGTCCATGTCTGCTAGAGCAGTAATGATGTGCAGTGACGACATGTGCATTGTTAGCTTATGGACATAATGAAGGAGGATTAACTGGGCAAATTCATATCTATAGAACTTGTTCTGATGACACTCAGAATGTTGAGCATTCAGCTCACACTGTACTTCTTTGCCAGAAAAGATTCAGAGCCCAAATGATTCATTTGTGTCTTAAAGCCAAAGATAATTGCACTAGAAGAAAAATGGCGATACTGTAATTTAGCTTGATTAATATGTGTCTACACAGGGCTGGCTTTTAGTCTTGATTATTAAGGACATGGATCCCGGCTGTTTTGTGAGAAAGAGCTTCTTTTAATTCTTCAAGGGCTTGAAATATTTAGAGGACTGAGAATGTGCTAAAATCTTGAGGTAAAGAATTAGTGCTGATACTCAACACAGCAGGATGCTGCAGGGCGATCACCTTCTGCTGAGGACATGTCATCACAGGAGGCTTTAAAGATGACATGACATTCAAGCCACTGTGTACTTTATAGAGAGTGAGAGATAGTTCCTGTCTTCCAAGAGCTTATAGTCTTGGTGGTGGTAGGGTGGGGGGACAGGGTACAGAGGGGGCATGATATGCAAGTATGGGTGATTTAAATGATAAATATTTAGTGGCACAAAATAAAATTCAGCATCCCTAAGAAAGCATTCAATTTGCTAAGGGAAGCCCTTGGTTAATTGAGGAAACGTAAAGGGATTGACAGTGGAGTCTCTTCTCATGAGTCCCACTACTTGTTAGGATGTTTTAATATCATTGTGATCACCTATAATTCACTGGTATTCTTTTAACGTCTTTGTGTGTAGTAACCTACCCAGGTAACTTAACCTTTCAGTTTTCAGAATGAAAACTGAATACTATTGGCTTTAGCAAAATGTCTTTATGTTTAGCTTACCCTGATGGAGTAAAACAGAGTTCTCCAATTTCTCTGAAACAGTTTTTTTTTTCCTTTAAGATAACAAAGTGCCATAATGACCAGGCATTATGTGTATTAATTATAACCAAAGGAATACATAGTCTGATTTTATTTCAAATTCTTTTAGAGTAAATTCATTTCTGCCTATTTTGTATTCTTACATAGGGCATGTCATCTAAATAGATCCCCCTAAATGGCCACAACATGCTCCTCCTTTTAACTAAAAGGTTGGGGTACTATTGCAGTGGCATTGGTTGCTGGGACTTTTTAAAAGAGCATTTTGGAAGAGTCAGCAACTAGCTGATTTTGCTTAGAGTCCTTTGGGATATTCTTGACTTCATTCAGGTAATAGGCATTCAGTGCGTATTCTCTGTGAAACACTGGGGTGGGGGGGTGTGGTACAGGGGTGAAGAAGACTTGGCCCCCTGTTTCCAGAAGATGACAGACTGCATCTTCAGGACACTGTGTTTCTCAAAGCACAGCTTCCGCATTGGTGTTCAGCTTTTGCACTCAAGCTGCCCACCTACTGCAACTTCTATATATCAGGTATTTTTCATTCAAGGGGACATCCTATCTAAATGGAAAACCACAAGGTATTTTGTCAGTGTGATGCCTTTCCTTTGTGAAAATTGGCTCCAGTTGTGAAAATGAACATTTTTGCTAGCCTGGGAGCATTCTCTCTCACCTACAGGAGGGGCTTTCAGGTAGTAACACAGGAATGGATGTTCCAGGCAGTGCAGTGTAATATGAGTGGTTATGTGTGATTAAGCTCAACCCAGTGCCAGGTTGGACCAGGTGCTCTCAAGTTTCAAAGAGAGGAGACAAAAAGGAACACCTAGGAGAGAGGAGTCATGCAAAGCAATCACGCCTCCCGGACGGAGATTCTTAGTCTTGTTGCCAGTGGAATGGAGTGGGACTTTTGCTGCCGCTGTGGAATGAACCATTGTCAAATGGGGGCAGGGGGACGGCAGGCATTTATAGTCTTTTCTCCTCCCATTCCGCTATTCCTAAGGTAGAAGTACTCGTGGTAAGATATTGGGGGTATTATGTTTTATGACGCCTCTGTGTTGACTAAACTTTACTGAATTACAGCTTTGAGTTTGCATAGTGGAAAGCAATAGAAAAGAACGAATGCTTGTTGTAGTCTCATTTTCTAAGTTGAATAGTCGGAGTACTGTTTCATTTTCAACATCTCTGAAATTCAGCCAGCTAGTATCTGGAAAGCACTGTACTTGGAAAAATGTCACATATTCTCACATCAGGCAGCTGGAACTATTAGTTGCCCTGTTGAAAATAACATTAAACACTATTTAAAATATAAAGTGAAGTCCAAATCTTTTTTTTTCCCCTTTCATTTTCCCTCTTTCCTCATGACCTCAATGTACCAGACATTTTTTTTCATAATTATCAGCACAAAGCATCCCTTTTCTGATGTCTATAAGCCCGATTATTCAAAGCATCACTTGTTAGGATATTCATTTCTGCTCCACCAGCCTTTTCAGCCATCCATCCCATCGAGTTCCCCCTGGTACCTTATGCTGAAGCTTCATAGAACTGCACATTGTTCCCCAAACACACCATCTCTTCCAGGCCTCGTTTCCATTACATACCCTGTTCCCTCTGCAGGGAATGCTGTTT